TAAAGGTCTGAATAAAAATGAAATTGTCTGAAAGAAATACACAGCTACAATAAAGTGGAAGGGGACTTCAGAACTGCGAACGCCATGCAGTTATACCTCAAGTCTCTTGCGAATAGCTAAATCCGAGCAAATCTATTGTACGTCATTGGGACCAACTCCGTCATCTGCACAAGAAGTGCAGAGTGTAGTATGAGTACAACCGACCCCATGTACCTAGTAAGTGCCGAGCCTAACCTCGACGAAGTAGTGAAGAGGTTAAGGCAGGTCACTTACATTAACCTGTACGCAATAATAGCAACAACAACAATAACAACAACAACAATACTAGAAATAAAACAGGTAACTCATTTCAACAGTTGAAGCCAACTCGGCAGTCATAAACAATTATTATTTCAATCAGCTTTCGTTGCGGCGTGCAACCCGATCCCACAATATATTTATTTTTATTTAATCCTGTTGCAGCGTGCAACTCGATCCTCAATATATATCTTTGCAATCAATTATGTTGCGGCGTGTAACCCGCTCCTCCAATATATTCACTTTTATTTCTATTCTGTTGCGGCGTGCAACCCGCTCCTCCAATATTTTCACTTTCAATTCTGTTGCGGCGTGCAAACCGCTCCTCAAATATTATAATTTACCAATTCTTATAAAAGATATTACTCCAATAAATGCAACAATTAATATGAAATTATAAGACAACAAACATACAACAATTAAGATTTATTTAGAAATAAGTGATGGCAAGTAGTAATTAATTGTAAAAATTAAGGAGGAAATGGGGATTTTAATAATTAGTATGCTAAATGTCAAGTAGCAATTAAGTCACATAAATCAAATAAGCATGTAGCAATTATAGAATGGATTCAAGGCATAATATTGAGCAAGGAATATGAGAGAAATAATTAATTCATGATTTAAAATAATTTATAATTTTTAAATAATTATGCAAACAATTAATTTGATGACGTATAGACACTCGTCACCTCGCCTATACGTCGTTCACATGAATTTCACATAACAAATAATTCAAGGGTTCTATTCCCTCAAGTCAAGGTTAACCACGATACTTACCTCGCTTCACAACCAATTTCAAGATTTTAATAAATCTCCGCCTCGCGAATTCGTATCCGAAAGCTTCAAATCTAGTCACAAATAATTCAATATACTCAACACGAATCGTAGGAATTAATTCCATATGAATTTACTAATTTTCCGGATTAAAATTTAAAATTTATTTTAAAAACCAACAGTGGGACCCACATCTTGAATCCCGAAAAAACTCATGAAATCCGAACATCCGTTTCGATACGAGTTCAACCATACAAAATTTATCGAATTCCGACATCAGATTGACCTTCAAATCTTCATTTTACATTTTTGGAAGATTTAATAAAAAAATTCAATTTTCTTCCATCTAAATCCGAAATAAACAATGAATATAAGCATGGATTTATGAAATATAATCACTTTCGGGTATATAACACTTACCCAAGTCGAAGTCGTGAAAAATCCCTTTGGAATCGCCCAAATCCGATACTCAAAACTCAAAAAATGAGTAAAAATGACTAACACCCGATTTTATGTATTCTGTCCGGTATTTTCGCACCTGCGGACTATATTTTTGCACCTGCGAACTCGCATTTGCGAGACAAAGCTCGCATTTGCGGAACAGGGCTGCCCAGTAAGGTAAAAACATTCCACTTCCTAAGAGCACGAAAACTATCAGGGACCTAATACTACTGCAGCAACAAGAAAAAATATATCTTGTTTCATTTTAGTTTGGTTTTTGATGTAGTTTAAAGGTTAATCAATTGTGTTCTTAGTTCCGCAATATTTTGAATCAGATTTGTATAGATTCTGTTCAAATTTGAATGTGACTACAAGTAACCCTCAAAGTCATAAATCTATCATCATACACAAAACTAACATAGCATAACTAGATGCAGAGGGGAGTCATATTGAAAAATAATATTAAAAATAACACTAAATAATTATTCCTACCCAGTATATTCTATATTACTTATATATAAGCCACAGTTTGAGGAGCTTTGTGTCAACATGAGTGCTTCGCAGCTGGCTTAAAGCAGAGGACCGCATCTGCGGACCTTCACGTCGCAGAAGCGAGGAGGATCACACCGGTGATCATGGCACCGCAGAAGTGGGCATCGCACCTGCGCTCCATGCTTCGCAGAAGCGAAGTTTCTTGCCTGGCCTTGGGGTCGTAGAAGCGACACTGCCTCCGCAGAAGCGATCACGCACCTGCGGCCAAAAAAGCGCAGGTGCGATGCACCAGAATAGAACAGGGCAACATGTTCTAATTGATCTGTGGCTTGTCCGAAACTTATCCAAGCCACTTGGGACCTCGTCCGGATATTCCAACAAGTCCCGTAACATAAGACGGACTTACTCGGGGTTTCAAATCACGTCAAACAACATCGACATTACAATTCACACCTCGATTCGAACTTTTAATTTTTTTTCAAACTTTTCACTTTGCAAAACTCGTGTCAAAACATATTAAACGAATCCGGAATGACTTCAAATTTGGCTCACAAGTCATAAATGACATAACAGAGCTATTTCAATTTTCGGAATCTCAATTCGAGTCCGATATCATCAAAGTCAAATTCGTGGTCCAACTTTGGAAAAGCCTTTAGATTTCTAGTTTTCGTTAAATAGCGATAATTTGAGTTAGGGACCTCCGAATTTGATTTCGGGCATACTCCCAAAGTCCCAAATCTCGATACGGATCTACTGAAACTGTCAAAATACTGATCCAGGTCCGTTTGATCAAAATGTTGACTGAAATCAACTCAGTTGAGTTTTAAAGCTCTATTTCACATTTTAATCCATTTTTCACATAAAAACTTTTCGGAAAATTATACAGACTGCGCACGCAAGTCGAGGAATAATGAATAGTACTTTTTGATGTCGTAGAACACATAAATAAATGTTTAAATTAAAGATGACATTTTGGGTTATCACAATTACAAATTTATTTTATTATATTATCAAATATTTAGTGTTATTTCAATGTTAATAGAAATTTTTATTAGCATATTACTTTGTTTAATATTTGTCTGCTACTTTTTTTTGGGTAATATAATAGAAGATATATATTTATTACTCTTGAATTATTTTTCTATTTTACATTTTATTCTATTGTTCTTAATAATATTTTCAGAATTTTGAATAAATAAAATCTCTATTAAATTAAAGAAACTTATATAGTCATCGAATAACTTTTTTTCCTGTATTTTTCTTTATTATATTATCCAATGTTTAGTATAATTGCATTGTTAATAAAAAAATTTATTAGCATATTACTTTGTTTAATATTTTTATTTGCTGCTTTCTTTTTGTAATATAATAGAAGATATATATTTTATCACTCTTGAAATATTTGTTTATTTTATATTTTTTTCTATTGTTCTCAATAATATTGTTTGAATTTTAGTGAATAAATACACTTTTTATTTTAAAAAAGAAAAACGAAAATTATTTATATATATAAAAAAAAAAAGAAATTAACTAACCTAAATCAACCCTCACCCATGCTTAAGTAGTTAATTTCTTTGTATTTTTTTATTATTTTAATTTTTCCCTTTTAAAAATAATTTTTGAATCTCCAAATTTTTTGGAACTTTATCCTAAAATTTGGCATTTGTTAAATTTTTGTCGTTACACCTGGCATCATCACATTGATTTGCTTTTCCTATTCTATATAGATAAAATAGATATTATCTGAATTTTAATGAATAAAATCTCTATTAAATTAATGGAACTTATATAGTCATCGAATAACTTTTTTGTTCTGTATTTTTCTTTATTATATTATCCAATGTTTAGTATAATTACATTTTAAATAAAAATTATTAGCATATTATTTGTTTAGTGTTTTTGTCTGCTACTTTTTTTTTGTAATATAATAGAAGATATATATTGTATTATTCTTGTAATATTTTTTTTATATTTTACTCTATTGTTTTCAATAATACTGTCTGAATTTTAATGGATAAATTTTTTTTTTTATTTTTAAAAACAAAAATGAAAATGATTTATAAAAACGAAAGAGACAAAAAAAAATTAACTAACCTAAACCAACCCCCATCCATGTTTGAATAGTTAATTTTAGGTGGTTAATTTTTTTGTTAATATTTAATAATTAATTATTTACTAAATAACTAATGATCAACTAATTATGCTATGTGACTTTTTTCTAGGCTATCACTTGGATTAATGTGGTGGTGCCTTTTTCTTTGGCTTTTAATAATATATAGATATAGATATTTAGTATTATTACATTTTTAATAGAAACTTTTATTAGCATATTACTTTATTTAAATTTTTGTATGCTACTTTCTTTTTATAATATAATAGAATATATATATATATTTTTATATTTTATATTTTATTCTATTATTCTCAATAATATTTTCAAAAATAAAACAAAAATTATTAAAAAAAAAACAAATAAATTTTGAATTGGCAGTTTCTTATTTTAAAATAATTTAAAAACTCCAACTTGAAACTACTCTCCAATTTGAACGGACAATTTTTAATTTTTGTTTTTATTATAAAATATTTTATTTTATTATTTTATAGATATTTAAATTCAAAAACAATAACCAATAACTAATTATTAACCAAGTAACTTTTTTCTAGGCTGCCACTTGGCTCAAGGAGATGACTTTTTCCTCTCCTTTTAATAATATATAAATAAATATAGATGTTGTGCCATTTGTTCCTATTATATTGTTGTTGCTACTGTTTAGTACTTTATTTTCAATGTTCCTTGATCCGAGGGTCTATCAGAAACAACTTTTCTACCTCCACAAGATAATGGTAAGGTCTGCNCTTTCTTATTTCAAGGTATGACACTAACAGAATAGAGAGTCTCGACCAGTGAGCACATCCCCGAAGATGAGAAGAGAAGGGCTTCGTAGCAGTTTATATGCAGCTCAGATGTTTTTTTTTTTTTTTTTGTTGTCGTCGTCATTTGCGAGTTTGTATGCGTGTATGATTGTTTAACACCAAATTCGATGTAAATGGTACAAGAATTAATGTACAACAATCGCATGCATCATTAATATTGAGATGAAAAGAATAACTAGCAAGCCAATTATATTAATAGAGAATTAAACACCAAAACTCCTTTCACTAGTATGGGTGATCAATAAGCAGATTAGGAAACAGAGAATACAGAAGCGGCTGTAAAAATGATATATTGACTAAATTTTTCGTTACTTGTTTCAGCATTAGCATCCTCATTAAAAGACACACCCCACAACTGAAAAGGTACAAGTCTTGCTACTTGAAGTTCAGCTTGTAAAAGCATGTACCTTTCAACATGGATCGAGTCCTAGTTCTAGTCTAATATGATTCATGTCTATGTCAAGCGCCTCTTTTGTGCAATAGTATACAATAGTCAAACAGAAAAAAAACATTTAAATTCGAATTTTGCATAACGAATTTAGCAATTCTCCGCCACAGAATCAAACTCTAGTCCAAAATCACCAGAAAACCCAAGTCCCACTTGTCATGGCGGAATCTAAATAGGAATTCTAAAGATAAATTATTTCTAAATAATAAAAAATGACATTCTTTGTGGGACTGACTAAAAAGTAAATAGTGCCACATAAATTGGGACGAGAGAGTATTTAGTGAAATACTTTTTGGGACGAAGGCCTTTCGGAAACAACCTCTCTACCTTCTTCGGGTAGCGGTAAGGTCTGCGTACATTTTACCCTCCCTAGACCCCACTAGTCGGATTACACTCGGTTATTGTTGTTGTTTTTGTTGTATTTTATGGGCCATTTTCATATATATTTATGTTTAGTGACTAAGCCAAAGCTCCGTCTGCCATTGATTAACCACCCAATGTATCGATCAATGGCTATCTTTGAGCTCTTTTTAATCCTTCACCAAAGCACAATTTTGCGATAAACATGGTGCTACTCTACCTTCTTCATTGGAGGGCAAAAGGTCTTCAACCTTTCGGAAAATGAAGCTTGCATTTGGAAGATTAAGCCCCATATTGTATTCCTCATTATTAAATTGTGTCCGCTTCAACGTTCTCTTGTAACTGCTAGTAGCAAACATTGGGTGAACCCTAGCAATCGATGCCTGCAACATCACAGAAAAGTCATACTTGATGCAAAAAAGCAGATTGCAACGCTAACCATCAAATTGAAAAATTGTTACTACTATACTATGCATGCAACTAACGGAGACTCTGCTTTTTGGCTGAATATTGCTGGTATCAGTACTTATGAACTCTTAAAAGTTGCATTGCGGTTTAACAATGATAGAATGTAAATCATTAAAAGAGAATTCACAACTTTAAACAGCTAAATTCCTAGTTTTTGAAAGAGGGGCTGTTAATTATGTGAATGGTTCTATTTAATCTAGCATCAGAGATCCAGAACTAGTACTTGTATGTTACCTTCTTTTTTACTGTCCTCTAGCAACATGCATTATTGAGCAGTCAAAAGGGAAAACAAGATAGGAATTAGCACTATTGAAGAACTAACCACGTGATCTTTCCCCAATTCAAGAAGCCAAAATTTCCAATCTTTCAGTTCTTTACCATCAACTTTCACAAATATGTTTTCCCAGTTTTTGTGATGAAATTCAACAGTGTCCAATTTGTAACCCACGCCTTCACCAATGGCTTTGACAAATGCTTCCTTCAAACTCCAATATCTGCATAAGATTTCAGATCTGTCAGTATAATCTTTTCTACAATTTGGCATGAATTTGTTTCTCCGGGTGACAAAACCTGTCCCTCATTGTCACAAAAGTAGATGTTTCCCAATATCTTATTTTCTACTCCCTCTATATCAAATTCATAGTCTACTAGTTTGTTAAGATGGTCGTTAAGTATGAATCATTTTCTGACAAGTGATGCGATAGATTACTCTTTCATTCATGTCGATGCTGGAAGTGTAAAAGTGGGACCCGTCAAGAAAGTGGAAAACGTGATATGCCCATTTCAAGAAAGTAGACATTAATTTGGCAAGGCTAAAAGTAGAAACTATAACAGTCAATTTGAAACTACTACGCTGAAGCTAGGAGGCAGCAACTATTACTCAACCAGAGCAAATTGTGACACTATTTTTTTTTTTTTGATGACCGAGAAATCCGTCTGGGGCCGATCCTTTGGACCAACCGCAGCCTTCGAAACTCGGTGGATAATGGGCCCGCCCTTCTACCCTTCTCCACTTAAATATCAGGCTTTGCTTTGCATGGTGCAGGGGCTTGAACCTGTGACCTAAGATACAAATCCACCACCCTTTGCCACTTGAGCTAGGCCCTGGGGGCCAAATTGTGACACTATCACAGTAAATGAAAGGTTGGTGGTGAAGGAAATTGTTGCTAGTAGCTAGGCCAAATCTCAGTACGACACTGCTTTTCCCGCAAAACATACTTAAACTATAAAATAAGCAGGGGAAGAGCTGGTCACAGCAGAGATATTATTGCACTATGCCACCTATTGTAAAATGGTAGAAACTAGAAACCAACTTGTCACATTCTCATAAGTAAATGATTGTTGAGCAGTTTGAATGACTTGTTGATGGTAGACTAGAATCCCGTGTTTTAGTCATAGTTTGCACTACAATTACTGCATTTTACTTGTGTTTGAGCTTAAATGTTAGTGTATTGCACTTATTATGTGTTTTATGCCTTGCAGGAAGTGATTCCGAGCTATTAAGATAATTTGGAGCTAATTTGAACAAGTTGGAGCTTTGAAGTCTGAGTAAAAGCCCAAGAAATTAAGTCGGGATCACGTTCGGGGGTCGAGGACCAAGTCTGGATGTCAAAAATTCCTGCATAGTGAAAAAATCAACTCTCTGAAAATCCTCACTAATGTGGCGCATGGCGCACCGCGCCAGTGTATTTTCACGGTCCAATTGTCCCAATTCGGCTTGGAAAAAGTAGTTTCGTCCGGGCCCGTTTCTACATGGTATAAATACACCAAAAACACGAATTTTAGAGAACTTTTGACCTTGAAAGTTTTGGGAGAGCATTGAAGGCTACGAGACTCAAGATTTCATCATCTTTCCATCAATTCAATACGAGAGTTTGGATTGTAACGTTAGATTGATGCTTCCTTATTCTTTAATTATATTTGTGATAACTTCCTCCATGATTATGGAGTAGTTTACCTTAGGGTTTGACGAATATGGTGTTTTGATAAATATTTGTGGATTTTTAACTCTAGTTCTTGCTTGAATTCGTTTATGGAGTTTTGAATTATTGCAACTTTATTCACCGGTCTATTTAATCGAGAGAGGAATATTTTGGTGATTATCTTTGCATTATTTTGTTTGATTTAATTCATTGATTCTCTTAAATAATCGAAAGAGCTTGTTGAATTGTTGATTAAATCAAGTAAGGAGAATATTCGAAAGACGTTTTCCTAAAGACTAATCCATTAACGCATGCTTTCACAGTGCTTATATTAGTTCACCTCGTAGAGTTGGTTTAATCGAGAGAGGAGTCTTGACTACACGTTTGAACTAATCATCGAGTGAATTCGTGAGAATCATTAGAACATTAGAGTGAATTAAACTAGAGTTAAATCCCAAATAGCTATCTTGCACCTATCATGTCAAAACCCTTATTCCTCACATTTATAAGAAACCAACTCTGCTAATCTCTAGTTCTTTGCAGTCAATTGTTAATTGCTTTATTTTAGTAGTTAAACATAGTTCATAATCATTTAACTCAAGTGTTGATCCTCCTGAATAGCAATTAAACCAGAAATTATTCGAACATTGTTTAAATTCAATCCCTGTGGAGACGATATTTTACTATACTATCTTTGATTAGCGAGCATCAATTTTGTGTTGTGTTTTGCGCTCGTCACTCGTACATATGGTCGCTCTCACAGTACAAAGGTTGGTATTCTCCCCCCCTCCCCCCCCCGAAGGAGGCATGGAGGTTAATTTAACCTAATCATTAGCCATCTGAATTCTGAGCTCAATTTGATCCCAAGTAACTTTTTCCAACCAAAGAGAGTAAGAGCCCGTTTGGACATAAGAAAATTTTCCTTTTTTTCAATTTTTTTTTTAAAAACAATATTTGGTTATCAAAATCTTACAATTTTTCCAATCTCAATTGAAAAACTGGTGAGAACCAGTTTTTCAATTGAAAATGGGAAGGTTGCTAATGTTTAGTTGCAAAATATATTGAAAAAAAGACATCCAAATATGTTGCAAAAATTATAACCAAACACAACTTCATCTTCAATTCAAATTTTAGTGAAATTCCAAATTTGAAAAAAAAATTTGGAATTCATGTCCAAACGCCTACTAAGTTCTTGGATAAAAGAGCAGATTTTTCAGAAAAGTTCTCTTTATGTACCTTGTCAATAAAGTTTTAACAAAAGATACCTATATTATGTAACTTTTTGAAAAATAAATGTCCCGCACAGTCAACTAAGGCTTATCCAAAATGAGACACAAAACTCTAAAGAGTAATGGACGAGAATAAGTGCATGGGTTCATACATATATCTTTTGCTTGGGGATTACCTTCAACATTTTTACTGGAGCAAACTCTTTGCGATCTCTGACTCAAACATGGAAGAAAGCTTTGAAATGCACATAACAGTAGGAGTTTGAGGTTAAGAAACAATAAAAATATTTTCAGTAGTGGCATTTGCATTAAGTAAGGCCTAAAAATAGATAGGTACCTATAAAACTCACTTAAAATCTGATGAGAAGATCCAGCATTGATTATGTTAAACCATTCCAGTCCTGAGAAGTATGATGAGAAACTCTCAATGAAATCTTCAACTGATTCTTTCTCAGGAATAGTTTGAGCAACAACATCCAACCCCACAAGGCATATTGGTTCAGAAGCAATAGCCACAAAATTACCATGATGTGATGCATTGAAGTTAAAATTTGGCAACTCCAAGTTCGGTTTGTCACATTCCTAGAAGAAGATAGGATTAACAACATTGCAAATGTGAAGATATATACTGCAAGCAAAAGCATAGCAGGTAGCTTGAAGAATATCCTCAAATCCTTGTGGCATATGAATTCAAACAAAATGTTAATCTGGCATCAAAAATATAATTTTAGACATATACAAGGAGAAACCTTTTCAGCTGAATCAAAATTGACATGACGACAACATATTGGATAACAAATTAGAAAAAAATCTGATGCAAACATAAGATATATGAGAAAGCACCAGTAATTGGGAGAATTTTCCAAAGACGAGTTATGTAAATGCTGGTAAACCATATATGTTACAATCAAAATCCCAATTGTCTGATCTTTGTGGATTTTACAAATTCCACTTCAAATAAGTTGGTTTTATTTAGATATGGAGAAGGAGAGATGCATCCACTATTATGAGGGGGAAAAGATCTACAAGAACAAACCAATATATAAAAATTTCTTTTTGACCAAAATACATCACTTGAATACTTTCTCAACAATAAATAAGTGGTGTTCAAATGGAAATGACAGAAAGTATATGTTTGACTCTGGTGAGAAACTGACTTATCAATTAAGCACAGCAGGAGATTTCGTATTTACTCCCCACAAGAGTAAGAAACAGATTCTTTTGGTTTTTCGCCCACTTGTACATACTTCAGCACTTCCTTGATGCTGCTATTTTAAAACAATTACCTTTGAAAAAGGAGATTTCGTATTTTACTACCCAAAAAAAGGTTTAACACCAAGTTCTTCATGCCATATTCCAAGTATTTGTCTTGTGCAAGCTGTCTAGTGGATAACAAATCTATATAGAACAGGTTTTTCAGTATAAGACCACTGAAAATAATTCCTATCTTTATATTGAAATTCAAGCCAAGAATAATGAGTCATTTTTCCAACTATTCAGTCTTCGACTCTTCCGGAGCATTTGGAAGAATGCGAGAATCCAGCTAGTTAATGTTAAAGCACACACTCCTAAAATACTTAAATAAACATCAAAAACATTTCAACAACAAATAAGACCAAAAGAAAGTGAATTTTCAGCATAGTCCGCGATCACATTCTATATATACCAGGTACGGTTTTCCCTCAGCAGTTCGCCTGATGACAATTTCATTGTAAGGGATTCCCAAGACTTGATGTACCAGTGCATACTGCAACAATCTGCTTACAAGCGCCCGTTTTCGATCTTCCATTTTAAAAAACCTAATCAGTGTGACACATCCACTCAAGTTTTTCACAAAGGCAATCGTGATAACCAAATGCCTCACTAAGCTTTTCAGACACCCATATAGAATTAAGCAATTATACCAAAGTGCATATTCAAAATTTTGCTACGGTAGACACTTTATAGCAATCAAGAATCAAAGAATTACAGAATAAACTTGAAGATAAAAAACTTTACTTGAAATACAAAGTGCATATTCATTATATATAATTAATTCAAGTATAACAAAGTGCTTGCATATTCACTATTTGCTTCCACATACAGTTTCATGCAATCAAGAATAAAAGTAGTACAGAATTAACTTAAAGATGATCAATTTAGCACTTCAAATAAAACGTAAAATCCATTGACACTTTATGCAATCAAGAACTAAATTAGCATAGGATAAACTTAAAGATGAAATCTTTATATGATATACATAAACTTTTACTCCCTCTATCCCAATTTATGTGATGCACTTTCCATTTTAGTTTATCCCAAAAAGAATGGTACCTTTCTATATTTAGAAATAATTTATGTTTAAACTTCTCATTTTGGACTTGATGAGATCATTCACAGCCATACAAATATCTAGAGCTTATTTTATACCCTAGATTTTAAAAATATTTTCTTTCTTAAACTCTGTGTCCACATCAAAGTGCATCGCATAAAATGAGAATTAATATAAAATCCATGGACAATTCATGAAATCAAGAATCAAAGGAGTATGGAATGAACTTAAAGATGAAAACTTTACATGACATACATAACGTTTTAACATTTCACATATAAATATAAAAAGTAAAGCACATAGGAGGAGATTGAGAGAAACCTGGTAATGGAGGAGTGCTCATGCTGGGGAAGAAAAGACATAGCAAAAGAGAAGTAATGGGGAGAAGGGTTCCATTCAGAAATATCAACTGCCCATCTCTGCACTCCCTTCTCCAATTCCATTTCCAAACTTTTCAGAGATTCAAAAACAAACAAAAAAGACTGTAGACTTTCAAGTCTCAGAAATGGGAATTAGAACTGTAACTTGTTTCTTCTCTTCCTAAAAATTGTTGCCGGCCAGTTCCAGTTCCCTTGTTTTGGGTTCATTGTCATAAGGCTCAATTTGGCTAATAACCATTTTATGGCTAATATTCAGAGATTAACCGACACTTATTTTATCCGACTAATTTTTAAATAGCAGTTCTATAGAATGCCATGTAGTGTCATTTCTACGAAACCAATCCAAAATTAATTGGGCTTTGTTTCTGGGCCATCATTATGTAAAATTTGTAGAGGATTATCATTTGTTGGTAATGGGTGCAAATTTGAATTGAAATTGCTCAATTTTGCTCTGTTAAACTTTCGATTCATTCATGCTTTTTAGATTGCAAATCAACTCGTATTTTCCTTTATCACTAAGGAGCTTCAGCATAAAATGAGTAAAATTCGTGTATCGAAATTCTTCTAGAGAAAAGGTTTAAATTTATTCCTATTTTTTTTTTTCTATTATAGTTTAAAATTAGTCTCATGTGTGCTCGGCTAAAGATTAATAGAAAAGATGAAACTTTTTTCTAACGACAAGAGTAATATTAGATAAAAATAGCTCGATTTCATATAGTAAGGGACAAACTTAACCCTTTTCTAAAATTGATAGTCCTTCCTATCATTTGATGTCATATTAAGTATGAAGTTTAAAATATTAGTTTGTTTATTATTGAGGTAGTGGAGGAAGAAGATATTACAATAATAATTAAAAGTAATTTGTAAACGAATAACACATCAAACTTAACTTTGATTAGTTATTGAACATTACGAACTAGTAAAAGTTGTATAAAACACTATTGGCAGAATACCCCGATAGACTGTATAGGGTAAAATATGCTATGACACGTGACCGTCCGAGAAAGGGACGCGTGGAACCTAAGACATGGGATGGCTAAAAATCGAAGGCAACTGTTTCGTTTGTCACCGAGAAGAATAATGCTCATAAAGATGTAATAAATGCTCTTCTCTCGGTAACATTTAATAGAGAATATTCATAGCATTAAGAGCAGTTACCCGTTACAAGGAATTTGGTATTTATGTTTACCGTTATATCTTCATCAATGTCCCTCATAATTGACATTAAAGAAGGGCACGACCCTAGGACCTTCTTCATAACTATAAATAGTGATCTCAGTTATCATTGTAAGGCACACAAATTTTCTCACAAACTTACGCTATATTCTATACAAAGCTCAATCCAATCTTATCTTCTTATTTCTTGATTTCTTTGTTGTTGTGCCCGAAAATCTCATTTCCGGAATTGTTGCTTCTGTTGTTTCGTCTGTAGGCTAAGTATTGCGTAACTCTTCAATAATTTATTTATTTCAGGATCAAATTAATTTTAATTATCTAGAAATCACGTATAAATTTAACTATACCATTTTACGGGTAAACAGTTTGGCGCCCACCGTGGGGCCTAGATGGCTGTGTAATTAAATTGATCCTTGCCTTTTTTACTAATGTGTTTAGATTATTTTTGTCTTAGAAAACATCATAAGAAATGGCAGATAACACTGTTAACGACATGCACAACCCCCAGATTCGAGGGGATCAACCTCATTCCGAGGACTCAATCAGAGACACCCATAATGAGGGGAATGACGCTATACCAGTGCATGACAGGCAGTATCCTTGACATGTTCGGGGAACCATTCCCGATGAAGCTGATGAGGAGCATGTCGTCGACGCAATAAGGGTCTTGCAAGAGCAACATGCGATCATTCTAGGCCACCTCACACGACAAGATAAAGTTAGGATAGAGTTGAAGCAAGCGTTGTTGGGAGATTCATCTAATGCAAACAGATGAGATCCGATTCCTCCCGGGGGTTCCCACGAATCAAACGACGCGGAGGATCGACAACAACACTCCTAGGGGCGAAATTAGCTCCGACGGGGCTGGAAGGAACGGATCCGGTCTCAACAACGAGAATGATTCTTTCAAGAATGAACTTTTACGGTTCATGAGAGAAGTGAACTCCCGCATGGACCAGATCTCGGGCGCGCCACCAGTGCTGAAAGTCCCGGACTCGAAGAAGTATACTCAATTGTCGTACAAGCCAAGTGCGACACTAGAGTTAATCCCGAAGCGGTTCATAATACCTGAAGTACTAAAGTATGACGGAACTTCAGACTTCTCCACCCGGGAGCATATTACCACATACACAATGGCGATAAAGGGAAACAAATTAGCTCCTCACAAAATTGAATTTGTGCTGCTGAAGAAATTTGGAGAAACCCTCACGAGGGAAGCCTTGACATGGTATCGCTGTTACCCGAGCATTTCATAGATTTCTTTAAAATGCTTGAAGATTCTTTCATCAAGGGTCATGCCGGGGTAAGAAAAGTACATACCCGAAAGACTGACATTTTCAGAATAGCGCAAGGAGAGTCTGATCTGCTACGAGAGTTCGTTACCCGATTCAAGAAAGAGAGAATGTTGATCCCGGCTGTCCCGGATGAATGGGCGGGTGAGGCATTCACCAAGAGATTGAATCCGAGGAGTTCAGACGCTTTCCAAAAATTGAAGGAAAGCCTACTCGAGTTTCAAGCAATGACCTGGGCGGATGTCCACAACCGGTACGAATCAAAAATAAGGATTGAAGATGATCAGGATGGTTTTCCATTGTCGACCAAAGGATGAGAAAAGAACAAGGAAAAATCAAAGGATGATTATGACGCGGACAAGCGAACTTCGAGGGGCCGGTTTTTGCCTTACTAACGAACTGAAGGCTGCAATAGAGGTTTCCGTACAACGGATATATTCAAGATTGACAGGAGGACTGATCACGGTAGGAACAATCGATCACTGCAGGATAAAGAAGTTGCAGGATCGCAAGATCCTTTTTACCCCAAATTATCAGAATACAACTTCAACGTCAGTACAATGGAGTTGATATCGATCATGAGAAACATCAAAGAAGAACAGTTCCCAAAATTGATGAGATCTGATTCTATCCAAAGGGATCCCAACTTGTGGTGTGAATACCACGGGACGAATGGCCACCGGACATGGGACTGTCGACTTCTCCGGGAAGAAGTGGCAACATTACTGAAGAATGGTCACCTTAGAGAATTCTTGAGTGACCGAGCTAAAAACAATTATGGTCGTAGCCGAGACACCACGAAACCCTTGAAATCAGGAGAAGATCTTTCGTGTCAAACAATCAACATAATCTTCGGAGGGAACGAGATTAACGGGGTCACCTTTTTAGCAGCAAAGAAGATGAAAGTATCAATAACGCATAGCAAAAGGCTTCGAAAAGACGATATTACTTTTACGGAGGAGGACGCAGATGGATTGATGCTACCACACAACAATACACTGGTAATTTCTTTAAATGCGCTAGATTTTAAGATTAAGCGTATTCTAGTGGATCTAGGGAGTTCGGCTAATATCATACAATGGAGAGTGTTGGAGCAAGCTAAACTCATCGGAAACATTATTCCGGCCACAAAGCTCCTCGCCGGATTCAACCTCGCAAGTGTGACAACTCGAGGAGAAATTTTATTACTGCTTACCCGTAAAATGGTACAGTTAAATTTATACATGGTTTCTTGATAAGTGAATTAATTTGATCCTAAAATAAATAAAATAATTGAAGAGTTACGCAATACTTAGCCTTAGGATATAACGAAACAACCGAAGCAACAATTCCGAAAATGGAATTTCCGGGCACAACAACAAAGAAATCAAGAAATAAGAAGATAAGATTGGATTGAGCTTTGTATAGAATATATCATAAGTTTGTCAGAAAATTTGTGTCCCTTACAATGACAACTGAGTTAACTATTTATAGCTATGAAGAATGTCCTAGGGTCGTGCCCTTTTTTAATGTCAATTATGAGGGGCATTGATGAAGATATAGCGGTGAACATAAATGTCAAATTCCTTGTAACGGGTAACTACTCTTAATGCTATGAATATTCTCTATTAAATACTACCGGGAGAAGAGCATTTATCACATCTTTATGAGCATTATTCTTCCCGGTGACAAACGAAATAGCTGCCTTCGGTTTTTAGCCATCCCCCTGTCTTGGGTTCCACGCGTTCCTTTCTCGGACGACCACGTGTCATAGTATATTTTACCCTATGCAGATAGTCCCCCTACTTTCCGGTGATATAACTTTGTGTTACCGAAAAATTGGTAGAAATACTCTTTTGGCGAGAATTACTATAATTCCCTATGAAGGCTTCTGACAATTAATTAGACGCATGTCTCTCCGCATTTAATGTCCCGAACATACGTCGTCCCATGATTTAACACAACTTTTGCCGATTATCGAGGTAATCATGGCCATGAATTTAGCCGCCAAAACATTTATTTATATGTTTCAACTTCCTCCCTTATACTTCATAATTTTTCAAGCTTCCTTTATCTAACTTGCATATTACTCTTCATCTTTCCTCTAATTCTCTTCAAACGAAAGACTCTTTCCTTGTTTCCTATAATGGCTTCTTCCTCAAAACGTACCGATTTTTCAAAAAGCAAGAACAAGGTCGAGGACTCTGCTCCTCCAATAATGGGCTCCATCATCCCTAGAAGTCTTATTACCACAAAAGAATTCGAAGAGAAATTCCCCACTGCTAACTCTCGTACATAGGCCGTTAGCAAGTATCCTTCTTTCATACGTCCTTCGAGCATTCTTGATGTGAAGGAAGACTATCGCTGCCATAACATGGAAATTATTGCTCATGATCTATCGGAGCGAGTCACCCTACCCAGGGAAGGTTTTACATATGTTTACACGTATCCCTTTACTTTGGGTGCGTTCTCTTTGAGCGAAGAGCTTGACTCCGTGATTGCGGAGTTTGCCTCCGCTATCAAGTATGTTTGGCAAAAGTAAGTCCTTCTGTGTGGAGGACGGTTGCTTGCCTTCGGCGTTTGTGCCAGGAAACTAGAGAGGAACTAACCTTAGCTCATATGATGAATCTTTAATCTTCCGCAGGGGAATGATAAACCTCTACAAGCGTGGCCACCAAGCTTTGTTATCTAGCATGGATGATGACAACGACAGTGGGTGGATAGAACAGTTCGTCGCAGTTGCAACCAATGATATCATTCCGGCAAACGCTTCATCCTTTCCGGCCGCTTGGAACCGCACTCGTAATCTCTTTGTTTAGTATTTTCTTTTACTAAATATTTTTCTATAGCCGTATTGATCCTCCATATTTCATTTATTTCAGCAACTCGATGGATCCCACCGGTGATTGAAGGTTTGGACCAGTGGGTACAAAAG